CAAATCGGATCTGACTGGTACAGGAGGAGATTGCCCCTCCTTCTCCAGCGGAGCATCTGGTGGATTCAAACCTTAAAATATTTTTTTAAAAAATTAGTGTAAGAGCCACAGGAGAGCATTATGCTTAGTAAACTAACTCAGTCTCATAAAGACAAATACTGCATAAGACCATTATGTAGAACAAGTACAAGGATCCCAGGTAGGGGGGCTTAATCATAGGGTCACACAATTTGATTGGTGAAGGGAGGGATGGTTAAAGGAAAAGGGAAAGATCTGGTGTAAAAACAATGTACACAAACTTTATGAACTTTGTATGCCAACGAATATAAAATAAAATTTTTACAAAAGGAAAAAATTATTCTTGTATGCCTTTGAGCTGTGGTGCTGCAGAAGATTTCTGAATATAGCATGGACTGCCAGGAAAACAAACAGGTTTGTCCTAGAGAGGGTGAAGCTAACCTGCTCCTTGGAGGCAAGGATTCTGAGGCTTCGTCTGACATACTTTGGGCATATTGCAAGAAGGGACCAGTCCTTGGAGAGGGACATCATGCTTGGAAGGGTGGAGGGACAGAGAAAGAGAGAGAGACCATTGATGAGATGGCTTGATACAGTGACTGGGATAATGAGGGTGGGTGTGTTGGAGACAGTAAAGTTGGCACAAGATAGAGCAGGTTTCAGGGCTGTTGTACATAGGGTCGCTATGAGCCACAAGCAACTCGATGGCACATAACAACAACAGTATGGGGGGAAAATGAGTGAACAGCTAATAAGGATTAAAATCTCCTTTCAGACTTAACTGGTTTGTCACCCTTCAAACACGGAACAAAGCTCACTTGATTGTTCATTGTTAAGCTAGACCATGGACATATCTATGTTGTCCTTATTAGGTATCGAATATGACTCATAGAGACCATAAGAACAAAAGATCTGAACACTGTTCTGTCCTGTGCCATCCTCACATTTCCTGACACACGAGAGCACTGTATCAATCCACCTAGCTCTTCTTTCTGCCAGACCTTGGACCTATCTATAGAATGACCTGTAACACATGAAAGAGACTCACACCAGCAAAAGTTAAAAAAAAACACCCCAAACCAACCCAGCATTTGCTGAAGGACAACTTCACGAGGGAAGGAAGGGATAGGACAGAAGGATTAATGGAAATGAGACTTGTGGGAGGGAGTAGGAAGAGGGCAATTACTTTGTGAGTGTTGTAATTAATGTTACATAACAAAATGTGTGTGAATGGTTGAATGAAATATCAATTTGCTTTGTAAATATTGACTCAAATCATAGTAAGAAAGAAAGAAAAGAGAAAAATCTTTAGAATAGCCTATTAATGACACATACAAATTTAGTCACAAGCACAGACTAATTATACGTATGTCTTTTCCCACCATATATATGCTTTTAAACATTCATGGCATTAGTTTTCTGGAGCAGTGGTCATTATGTCAGAAGAAGCATTCTTCACCAAAACCAGAACCTTTAAAAGTTCTTTTCCAAAAATCTGATTTTCAGTTCAGGAGAGAACAGTATCTAATTACTGCATCCCTAACATATGAGATATATGAGGAATCATATCAGATCGTAGATAGAATTGGCAACATGTGGAATAAGAAGGCCCATCTCGTCTTCCATTATGGAAAAAAAGAGCACAGGGGAAAGGTGAAACAAAAGTGTAAGAGTTGTTGCCAATGATTTTGTTTCAATCATTTTCTTCATGGGACCTGTTAAGAAGCATACTCTGGCTAATGCAGCATAATTTCCAAGACATAAAATTCTGGGCAAAACTTGATGCTTTATGAAGCCCCCGAAAGCCAGTACTGAAGACAGAACAGAAAACGCCACAGAGGCCTCTGTGCTGAACCTGAAGGGAGAATTATC